AGTTGATACCGTTTCATAACCTGAATACAAGATTGTGATGATTTGCTCAATTATTTCATCATCATCTAGTTTGTGTCCACCATTCTCAGTTCTCATAAGTTGATCAAGAATGTCACCATGAGTAGCCGAAGAAGCTCTTCTCTTGGCTAAGAGCTCTTTTAGCATTGGAATCGCTTTTTCCCTAGCCTGTAATAAACGAAAGTGCTCCAATGTGAACTTTAAGTGAAATAAAAGAAAAAGTAGTTGAGTTTTAAATTGCGGCCACAGTTAAAGGTTTTTTTTTTAATGATCTTTAATATTATGAAAAGTTGCAAATGAATGTGAGTAATGTAATTCCAATACAACATTGGAAACTCTAAATACGTTGAGGTTGAAATCAATATAAGAAATTTAACATATAGTAATATAAAATGTTTAAATTTATTTGATATATATTTACACATAATTATAATGCTAATTTTAAATAAGATATAATAATATATATTATATATTATTATAACTTACGTTTACAATTTTTAACAATATATATTCACGTATGTTATATTTATAATATAAGTAAAAGTACTTTTTAATGATCAATATTGTGTCATTATATAAAATGTGTTATTATATAATAGTTTTTTTTATTCAATAGTAATTATAGTCTTAAACCATTCCTTAATACCTTGAAAATATGTAAGTATTCAAGACATAGATACCTTTAGTCCCCGATAATAATTGGTTCCTGGGAATTTAATTGGCAAGGATATTGTTGCTATTGCCATCTTATCAAATGTGGCTTTAAAGGACTCAAGGAAAGAGTTTGGCTCATTTTCTACAACCGCTTTCAAGGAAATAAAGAATGACATCTGAATAGAAAAAAATAAATCAAAGAATGGTTTCAAAACATTAGACCAATGTAGGGTTTAATAAACTCAAGACTTATATGATTATTACGTACCTCAACAGTTTTTTCTTGAAGATCAATTATTTTACCATCCCAATTGTCAAGGTAAGACCTCATGAACTCATCAACTTCTGGCACAAGTCGATCCTTAACTGAAGTTGGACCAATGAGAGATAATAGTGAGCCTCTAATTCGTTTATGTGTAGCACCATGAACCTCAGCAATGTTAGTCCCTAGAATGTTCCTCATGGAGTCGGGGTAGCCAGGAACTAGGCCTTTTGCTTCATTC